GAATTCCCAGGGCCTGGCAGCTTCCATGCCCAAGATGTCTTCTGGAGAGAGAGAGAGAGAGAGAGAGAGAGAGAGAGAGAGAGAGAGAGAGAGAGAGAGAGGCAGAGGTGAGCCAGTACCATGCTCAGGGCATGTGGGAGGCAGAATTCTAGGATGCCCCCCCTGTCTCCCCCCCTCCCCCCAGATTTCCCACCTCTGCTAGTGCACCAACCTCCCAATCCAACCAGACCAGTTGCCATTGAGCACATTCTGACTCACGGTGGCCTCACGCGTTACAGAGATCAGCTCCACGGGGTTCTCTGGGCCCTGCGCCCAGAGTGGTTAAGTGTGAGGCAGCTTCCAGCAAGGTCAGCAGTTTGAAACTCTCAGCCTCTCCTCAGGAGAAAGACGAGGCTTTCTACCGATTTAAAGAGAGGGATCCAGGGCAGATGATCCCCTCAGGATCAAACATGAGAGTGGCGATACCAGAAGGGTGGGGGGAAGGCGGAAGGAGAAAGGGGGAACCGATCACAGGATCTACATATAAACCCCTCCCTGGGGGACGGACAACAGAAAAGTGGGCGAAGGAAGACATCAGTCAGTGTAAAGCATGAAAAAAAAATTATAAATTATCAAGGGCTCATGAGGGAGTGAGGAAAAATGAGGAGCTAATACCAAGGGCTCAAGTAGAAAGAAAATGTTTTGAAAATGATGATGGCAGCACTTGTGCAAATGTGCTTGACACACTGGAGGAATGTATGGATTGTGATAAGAGATGTAAGAGCCCCCAATAAAAGTATTTTTTTAAAAAGAAAATGATAATGACTACATATGTTCAAATGTGCTTGACGCAATGGATGGATGGATGGATTGTGATAGGAGCTGTACAAGCCCCCAATAAAATGATTACAAACAACAGTTACAGCCCCAGAAACCCAAAACCCACAGCAGCAGTCCTATCCTGTCTTAGAGGGTTACTGTGGGCCAGGATCGACTTGGTGGCAGTGAGTTTGGATTTTGTTTTCATCTTTGCTGAATAAGAAGCCCTGGTGGCCCCATGGTTAAGCGCTCGGCTGCGAAAGGTCGGCAGAAAGGTCGGTGGTTCAAATGCTCCCAGCAGCTCCTGCCAGGCTCCTCCTGTAAAGATGACAGCTGGGAGGACGGTAGAGAGCAACATGGGGTTGACTTGCAATCCACCGATGGGCACATACAGGGGCAGCCCGCTCAACCATGCTGCCTGGTGCCACTGGGGGAGTTCAAAGCGCCAACCTTGAGGTTAGTAACTCGTGCAAACCATTTGCACCACCCAGGCACATGCCCCAGTGTGTCCCAAACCCAAACCCACTGCATTCAAGCGAATTCCGACTCATAGTCACCTTGCAGGACAGAGCAGAGCTGCCTCAGGGAGTTTCTCCGTTTACAATCTCTAGGGATTGATCGGCACTTCTACAGATCATACAGTTCATTAGTTCGATCATATCAAGAAGAGGTGATGGCCATCACCTCAATCAATTTCAGCACATTTTCTTCTCTGTTTTACTCATTATTAGTGTAATTTTTAAAAAATGTGGCAAAAATATACACAACAAAACATTCACCAATTCAACACCTTCTACATATATATTTCAGTGCCAATGATTATACTCTTCATGTTGTACAACCATGATTGATGTCCTTTTCCAAATTATTCTCCCACCATTCACAAAAACTCGGTGTCCCCTAAGCAACAATGCTTCCTCCTTCACCCATGGTGCTCTCTGGTCAACTCTGGATCCTTTTCTTTGAAAAGCAGTATTCTTGATATAAAAATGCACTTCTCTTGTTAAGTCACTTTAAAAAAGAGTTGTAATACCTCACCACAATCAGGTCTAGTGCTCCCTCGCCCCTCCTGCATTCATTATTTGCTCCTCTACTCCCCTCATCCTTCTTGCCCCTACCCCTGATAGAGCATCGCTTTGGTTATTGTCTCTGTTCATCTATTCCTTCTGTGTTTTATAGTGTGGGAAACCTAACATAAACAAAAGACCACAAACAAAATGAAGCAGAAAGAAAGTAGTAATAACAATATAAAGAGTAAAAAAAAAAAGAAGTGTGATAAAGAAAAGACAGCAAACAATATTTCAAAACCCAGAGAAGAAATTTCTGTTGTGAAATAGACAAAAAATAGTTAAGCCTAGAACAAACGTAGGTTGTGTCAGGAGGGAGGTCGACTGGCCAAGTATCGTATTATAGTGTAGCTTGACCGAGCGTAATCAAGTTTTCAATAGATTTCTGATTGTGAAGCTGTTCCAGACCCTAGCCTGTGGCCAGAGGGGATCTACAGGAGGATTAATCAGACCAGACACACTGCAGAGGATTTGGGGCTCCCACCACCCTTCATAGCCGTCTACAAATTGGGTGGTCACATTTAAGCTCTGATACTTTCCCATCGTCATATTGGGTTTTGTTATTGTCATATTTGGATCACACAGCTGGTATGCTTCTTCCATGTGGACTTAGTTCACACCTCCCTTAGATCGCTGCTTGTTTGAATACAAGCCTTTAAGACCCCAGGCACGATGCCAATGGTTGGCTGGGCACCATCTACTTTCTTCACCACACTTTGGTACAGCTGACTTTAAAACAGGAAGATAATCCAGTGAGCCTGGTCTCGCCACGCGGGAGTTTCTGCAGCTGGCGGCAGAAGCAGCAGAGGTCTCAAGCACGAGGAAGATGCTACCTGTCACTGCTGGCTTGATGGGGGAAGGGACCACTGGCAAGAAGCAAGAGCTAGGAGCACCCCCAACAAGGAAATGGACCTGAGCCTGTAGCCTCAAGGAATTAAATTCTGCCAACAACAAGACTGAGCCTGGAAGCAGATATTCCCCAGAACTTCCAGAAAAGAACGCAGCCCAATCCGGAGCTGGGTCTCAGCCTTGCGAGATCCTGCGCAGACAGCTCCCACTCCACAGGACTGTGAGCCAACACCGTGGGAAGTGCCTGCCAGTCACTAACTGTTAGGCGCTGGCTTCTGCAGCATGGCAGCGAGGCACAGAGGCGCAGGAGGAAGCCGTTTTGAAGACAAAAGGAAGCAGAAGGAAGAAAAAAGGGAGAAGCAGAGAAAACAGGAAGCAAAGAACTCAAAAGCAGCAGCAACATGGGCCAAGGGCGGGAACACTGAAGACAGCGTGGCCAGTCAGTGATGACAGACACTGGGGCGGGGAGGAGGCCTGCCCGTCAAGAGGATCGAGAGCTGTCCTGTGCTGGAAAAGGCAGCCTTTTGCCTGCATATTTCCTGATCCTGGGCTGCAGCCTGTTGATCCTGATCCCAAACTGTACCCTGTTCCTTAATAAGCCATCTCACCATTGTTAGGATCTGCGAGTTCTGTGTGGTCATTGTAGAACCCAGGGGAGAAGCAGAGAGTGCCATGTCACACCTCCCCTAGCCGTCTTATCCTCTTAGTCATAGAATCCCTCTCTTTCATTTGGCACTTAGATATAAAGATTACATCTCTCCATGGCTCTGGTAACTGGGTGTGGTCATGTGATTTCTGACCAATGGGATTTAAGAGAGAGCAATCGAATGTGACTTAAAAAATGACTTGAAAGAAGCCGGCGTGCTGTTTCCTTTCCGATGGCTGGGAAGTAGACCTGGTGGCTGGGGCTCCAACATTCACGAGGAGGCAGAATTATGCTCAGAGCATTGGAAACGTCTCCAGGCCCTGGCAACCATCCTCATGAGGTGCTCTGCACCCCCTGAGCAGTTGAGGTCTAACATGGGAGTATCCCAGGTCTGACTTTCCTAGCCCCTCACATCCATCTACAGAATAAGAGGTTCATTTTCTGAGACCAGAGCCCATGCAAGTTCCCCCAACCATCTTCCGACTGATCCATACTGCTGGTCCAAGGAGGCAACAACTACTAATACAAACCCTGTGCAGATGCTAAACTCACACACCTGCGGCTGCTGTCAGGACCTCTGACGCCTAAGACCCGAAGAGAGCTTGTCTGCTGAATGCTTTCCCATCTAGAGCAGGGGTTGGCAAACAGCTGTGCTCTGAAGTAAAACTGAGAAAACTCAAGGGTGTGATTCGGACAATGGTGATTTCATTTTTTGTAAAGATCTAGTTATACTGCTCGAATCGTTTTTAAATTGTGAAGGACAAGATTGGCTCTTCCTTCTCAAAAATTTGCCCTGGTTTCCCAACGAGGTAAAAGCAGATACCTATACTTTAACCTGGATGATGGACTAGAGTAAGCAAGATTTTCATTGCCAAAGGGGTGCTGAGTAATTTCTTTTTTCCTTTCTGAAAAGTGGATGCTAGGCCGAATGCATTTGTGACACCACTCGGAAAGGAGATAGGAAATTCCCACTTCCAAGACTTCCCCTAGAGAGGTGGGGGTTCTGCCCATGCATCACTCTCCTCCCCAATCAGTATCCAGACAGCAACACAGCCACAGGTCGCTGCAACTTCTCTGGGGCACCCTGTGGGGCTTTACCTGCCATGACCTCAGGTGACTGGAAAAACTCATCTGGGTGCACATAGCCGGTCTGCGGAAGGAGACACCAGACCACGCGCAGCAGGCCCAGGCTGCCCCAGAGCACCCTGGCTGCCATCTTCAGGTCAAATTGCTGCCAAGACACTGGGCCAAGACTGGGATGACTTCCTAGCTGCCACAGGCTCTATTCTGGAGCCACACATCTGCGCCTGCTGGGGATAACATTGGTTAGTTATTATAATGTAAACGATACTATGATCAGCTGCTAGAATAAATTCTGGATGGGTCTACAGACAGTCATAAAGACTCGGGCACTTGACATGCATATGGTAGTTGTTCACTGCCATTGGGTAGGTTCTGACTCAGCAACTCCATGTGTAATAGAATTAAACATTGCCCGGTCCTGCATGACCCTTACAATAGGAGGTGTTGTGAGCCCATTGCTACAGCCACTATGTGAACTCATGTCAGTGAGGGCCTTCCTCCGTTTTGTTTACACTCTATGTTGATGTTGTCGTGGTTGTGTGTTATTGAGTCCGTTCTGACTCCTAGAGACCATAGGTACAACAGAGCGAAGCACCGCCCAGCCCGGTGCCATCCTCACAGTCATTCTCAGGTGTGAGCCGTTCTTGTAGGCCCTGTGTCAACCCGGCTCATGGAGGGTCTTCTTAATTTTTGACCATCTTCTGCTTTACCAAGCATGATGTCTTCAAAGTTTGTGAGCCGCAATCTCACCAGCCTTGCTTCTAAGGAGCATTTGGGTTGTACTGCTTCCGAGGCAGATTTGTTCACTCTTCTGACAGTTGGTATATTCGATATTCCTCATCAATATTATAATTCACAGGCATCAATTCTTCTTCTGTCTTCCTTATTCATTACTCAGTTTTCACATGCATAGGAAATGAATGAAAATACCGTGGTTTGGGTCAGGGGCACCTTAAGTCTTCAAAATGATTTCTTTGATTTTTAAGACTTTAAAGAGACCTTTTTTGACGGCTGACTCATGAGTATTGATTGTGGATCCAAGTACATCAATTCCTTGACAACTTCAATCTTCTCTCCATTTATCATGTTTATTGGTTTAGTTGTGAGGATTTTTGCCTTCTTGATGTTGAGGTAAAATCTGTAAAGACTAGTCTTCAGTTTACTTGTGTTTGGTTGACTATGCAAAGGGATTTGACTGTGTGGATTATACCAAGCTATGGATAGCCTTGAGAAGAATGGAAATTCCAAAAGACTTCATTGTGCTCCTGTGGACTCTGGACATTGATCAAGAGGCAAATGTGTGAACAGAACAAGAAAATCCTGCATGGTTTACAACCAGGAAAGGTTGTATCCACTCACTATACTTAATCAGTCTGTCTGCTGAGCAAATCATCAGAGAAGATGAATTACTTGAACAGGAATGCAGCATCGGGACTGGAGGAAGGCTTGCTAACAACCTGCGGGACACATATGATACAATCTTGTTTGTTGAAAGTGAGGAGGACTTGAAGCACTTGCTGATGATGATCAATGATTTCAGCCCTCAGTATGGATTATAACTCAATGTAAAGATGACCCCAAATCTCACAATTAGGCCAATAAGTGACATCAAGATAAATGGAGGCAAGGTTATATTTGTCAAGGATTTCATCTTGCTTGGATCCACATGTTAGGGACCGGGAGCGATTTCCCTTTCAATGGAAGGAGATCAAACACAAGGCTGCTATAACAAAGAGGCTTTATTATGCTCGCTTAAGCCAGGACTCTAGTCCTCAGGTGCTTAACTACGCACACCTTCTTGGGCTAGAGAGCTGAACAAAGGAAATTCCAAAGTATTTGTTTACCAGGTATACATATCGGGAGTTCCCAGCCCCGCCTCCCGTCAATCCCCTGATTGGCTCCTTTGAGGTAGATTGGCAGTCTGGTCCTTTGTGTAGTTCCCGCGCTGGCCCTGTTGTCCTCCCCTTGGCAGTTGGGCTCTTGGTGCCGTTCCGGGTTGGCTAGCCTCAGTCTCCTGGTACATCCTACTTCGTACTGCTAGGAAATATGAAACCACAGCCTGCCCGAGATCGCGGAACCAGTCACAGAGGCAACCTGGCTTTACACACAATCAATGCACATGGACGCAGCAGTCAAGAGAACAAAAGGTGTATTGCATTGGGTAAATCCGCTGCACAAGGTCTCTTTAAAGTGTTGAAAAGACGGAAGTTACTTTAAGGACTAAGGTGCGCCTGACTCAAATCATGGTATTTTTCCATTGCCTCATATGCATGTGTGAAAGTTGGACATTGAATAAGATTGAGAGTTATGTTTGAAATATGGTGCTAGTGAAGAATATCGAAAGTACCACATATTGCCAAAAGAACAAACAAATCTGTTTTGGAACATGCATACCCAGAACGCTCCTTAGAGGCAAGAATGGGGAGACTTTGTCCACAGTACTTTGGACATGATGTCAGGAGAGACAAATTCCTGGACAAGGGCATGATGCGTGGTAAATTAGAGAGGCAGCGTAACAGAGGAAGACCGTCAATGAGATAGATTGACACCTTGGCTGCAAACCTGGGTTCAAACGCAAGAACAATTGTGAGGACGGAGCAGGACTGGGCAGTGCTGGACACCGGGGTTGCTGTGAGTTGGAACTGACAACAACAACACTAAGGAAGTTAGCAAGTTACCACAAGCCAGGATTAAAAAACATTCACGATATAGTCTTTGGTCCACAGCAATGCCTCTTCTCAGCCAGCAGCCAAGGGTCTCTCCCTCTTGACTTCAGCCTCCCAATCTTAGTCCCTTGGTCTCTGGTGGCCAGGAAGCCTGATCCCTGTGCGACTCCTAGTGACAGCGCTGCTCTTCTGCTCCGTCTCATGGATTTCTTGCCTCAGCCTCCGTTTTTGGCATGGCTTGACCTCTGGTACTTCTAGCTTCAGCCTTTGCCACACTAAACCTGGAGCATTCTGGGACATGCTGTGTTAGTGGCGCTTCATCATTACGGTCTTAATTATCTCCCTGCTTCTGAGATAGCTCTCCCCTCCTCCCTCCCTCACTCTTTTTCCATATGTTTGAAATGAACTTTCATGTCGCTAAAGAATCCACGTCCACATCAGTTTTACTTTTCCTCCTCTTTTAGCCACTCAGACCAATGCTTAGCCATGAGAGGTAAGGAGTCCGGAAGGTTTCCCAGGCTGTGAGCCTTCCCTCTCTCTCTTCAATGTTAACTTTCATGATTTATTTTGATTTTTAAGGAAAAACATATTCTATGTAGTTGAGCAGCCCATCTTATGAAATCAAACCAGTGATAACTCCTCATAAATAATCTCTTTTTCCGGCCTCCTTCTTCCCTCCCTCCATTATTTCCTGTCCCTTCCTCTCCCTGCCCCTGCTCCATCCCTGACTTCCTGCAGTCTTCACAGTATTACCCTTTGTTGTAAAAACGACTTTCATTGCTCTTGGTTTTTCCTTATAATAATGTGTCATTATTTATATAAGAATTTGATTAACTTTGCTTTTGTTAAGTAGAATGTCCTCTAGTTTTGTCCATGGCTTGTGGTATTTAAGAAGGTTGTAACTGCTTTTGATTGATGTACACTATTCCATTGTGACAGCTCTCATATGCAGATGTGGATTTTGTCTTTCAGCAGACTATAACCCCAAGGACACAAAGGGTGGTGCCTAGGTTCCCACTCTCTAGTAAAGTGGAGATTCAGAATACATCCCACTGTAATCCTGTCTATTATCACAACAGAGAATTCTCCCCAAATGGGATTATAGCTGCAAGCACAGAGACTAGAATTTATGATACATCACAAAAGGGATTATGGCTAGAAGGGCCATATTAAGTAATCGATGTCTCAATTGTGTTTATAGAAATTTGCTAATACTATGTACAGATAAACTACAGTTCTAACACCAACTTTGTTTCTAAGCTTTGTCAGAATATTCTGGTTACTTTATTTCTCTCTTGTGAAGTTAAATGTCTAAATGTGACATTTGCTAATCAAGTAGGATTAGGGTGCCTCTAAATTTGGGTCTCGCAGCACCCCTTGTTTACCAGCTTCTACACAAGCAAAACCCACTGGTTTCTTCCTCACACTGTGAGAATGTGGAAAGGCCAACAGATTCTACCCACTTTCCAAAGAAATCTGAACTGCAGTCAGTGCCTTGATCTCAGGCATCCCTCTTTTCCCACAGCTCTCCTACGTTTTGAGAAGGTGTTGGGAATTCACACAAATCCCCTTGAGGGGAACTTTGATTCCACTGGCTCAGGAGTCAACCAGAATTTGAGCTACTGCTTTGATGGACTTGGAGGTCAGCAACATCTCCAGTTGTTGTTGTGACGTGCCATCAAGTAGGTTCCAACCAATCATGATCTAAGCACAACAGAATGGAACACTGCCCAGGCTTGCGCCATACCCACATTGTTCCTATTCTTCAACCCATTGTTGCAACCACGGTGTCAAGCCATTTCCAGGGGGCTTCCTTTTTTTTGTGCCTCTTTTTTGATGACTCTCTACCAAGAATGATGTCATTCTCTAAGGATGGGTTTCTCTTGACAACATGTCCGATGTACCATAAGACCAAGTCTCACCCTCCTTGCCTCTAAGAGCACTCTAACTCTACATCTTCCAAGTCAGCCTTGTTTGTCCTTTTGACAGTCCATGGTACTTTTGATGTTCTTCAGCAACACCATAATTCATATGCATCAGTTCTTCCTTAGTCTTCCTTATTCAATGTCCAACTTTCAAATACACCCGAGGAGATTTAAAATGCCATGGGCTTTGGGTTAGGCTCACCTGAGCTCTCAAAAGAACATCTTTGCTTTTCAACACTTTAAAGAGGTCTTCAAAGATTTAGCCAATTCAATGTGTCTTTTGATCTCTTGACTGCTGCTTCCATGAACATTGCTTGTGGAGATGAGCAAGACAAAATCCTGACAACTTCAATCTTGTCTCCATTTATCATGCTGTCACCTATTGGCCCAGTTGGGAGGATTTGGATCTTCTTTACCTTGAGTTGTAATCCGTACTGAAGGCTGCAATCCTTGATCTCCATCGGCAAGTGTTTCAAGTCCTCCTCACTTTCAGCAAGCGCAGTGTGTCATCTGCACATCACAAGTTGTGCACAAGCCTTCCTCCTATCCTGATGCCACATTCTTCTTCATGAAACCCAGCTTCTCTGATTGGTCTCCAGAGAACAGCGAAACAAACCTAACCTGCTT